GTGAGAGAGAGAGAGAGAGAGAGAGAGAGAGAGTGAGAGAGAGAGAGAGAGTGAGAGAGAGAGTGAGAGTGAGAGTGAGAGTGAGAGTGAGAGAGAGAGAGAGAGAGAGAGAGAGAGAGAGAGAGAGAGAGAGAGAGAGAGAGAGAGAGAAAGAGAGAGAGAGAGAGGGGGGGGGAGAATAAAAGACGAAAATACAGTAATAATAATAGTATGTGTATTCGGAACAAAGTCAAAGTAATTGTTTGCAGTATTTTATTATTTATGTTTCTTCCCTCCTTTCCCTCTTCCCTCTCCCATTCCCACTTTCTTTGTCGCCTCTACCTCTCTCTTTCTCTCCTCTACTTTTCCCACTTCCCTTTCCTCGTCTTCATTTCGTCCCTCTGCCTCTCTCTGTCTCACTTTTTACTTCTTCCTCTTTCTCTTCTGCAATCTCTCACTCTCCCCCCCCCCACCCCTCTCGTTCCTACTCTTCTCCATTTCTTTATCTCTATCTCTTCCTTTCCCCTTCTACTTCTTCCTTTCTCCTCTCTACACCCCCCTCTCTTCTCTTTCGCTCTCGCTTTCCTTCGGCTCTCTCAGGCTCTTCACTCTGTCTCCCTTCTCCTTCGCCTTCTCTTTCGCTCTCGGTATTTCTTGCCCTCTTTCTGTCTCCTCTTTTTATCTCCCGTCTACTCTCCTTTTAAGACTTTCCGTCTCCTCTTTCTCTCTCCTTCCCTTTTTTTCCCATTCTTCTTTCCCTCTGTCTGTCTTCCGTCTCCCTTCTCCTTTCTCTCTCCTTCCCTATCGCTCCCTCTTTCATTTCTTTCTTCCTATCTCTCTCTCCCCCTCTCCCTCCCACTTTCCTTTTCCTTTTCCTGTCTCCCCTTTCCCTCTCCTTTTCTCTCTCGTTCCCACTCTACTCTCTCTCTTCCTGTCTCCCCTTTCCCCTCTCCCTTTCTTTCCCCTTCCCTCTCTCTCCCACTCTCCTTTCTCCTTCCCTGTCTCTCCTCTCCCTCTCTCTCTCCCTTCCCGTAAATACTTGATTTCAAAGAACAGATAAATTTATAAGAACCGTCGTTAATCGAGAAAAAAACGAGAGAATACGTTTATCTTTATTTTTATATCAGTTACAAAATCTACTATAAAATGTACTGCAGGAGTGTTTATATGAATGATTGTGTGTAGGGGGATGTGTGTGTGTGTGTGTGTGTGTGTGTGTGTGTGTGTGTGTGTGTGTGTGTGTGTGTGTGTGTGTGTGTGTGTGTGTGTGTGTGTGTGTGTGTGTGTGTGTGTGTGTGTGTGTGTGTGTGTGTGTGTGAGTGTGTGTGTGTGTGTGTGTGTGTGTGTGTGTGTGTGTGTGTGTGTGTGTGTGTGTGTGTGTGTGTGTGCTGTGCATGTGTACGTGTGGGGATTATAATAATTTCAAATGTATTTTTTTCCCTAGGATTTTTAAACATACTGGTACACTTTTTATGTTTATTAAGGCTTTTAATACATCAGTATTTAGTAAGAGAGACATTTATAGTATATAAACATGTATATACCCAGTATATGTATTTGGCATATATTGAAATAAACAGTGAATTTATGTATTTCTTTTTTATATATATCTCTCTCCCCCTTCCCATAAGTACTTGATGTCAAAGAACAGATAAGTATATAAGAACCGTGGTTACAGCCAGAAATCGAGAAAAAAACCCGATAGAATACGCTTATCTTTTTATATGTTATAGAATTGTATATCTACTATAAAATGTATTGCAGGAGTGTTTATATGAATGATTGTGTGTAGGGGGATGTGTGTGATTGTGTGTGTGTGTGTGTGTGTGTGTGTGTGTGTGTGTGTGTGTGTGTGTGTGTGTGTGTGTGTGTGTGCATGTGTACATGTGGGGATTATTATAATTTCAGTTTATTTTTTTTTCCAAGGATTTTTAAACACACTGGTACACTCTTTATGTTTATTAAGGTTTTTAATACGACACCAGTATTTAGTAACAGAGACATTTATAGTACATAAACATGTATATACCCAGTATATGTATTTGACGTATATTGAAATAAATTGTGAATTTATGTATTTCCTTTTTTATATATCAAAATATTTTTCACTTCTTCCAGCATATGGTGTTTGGTAAAATTGCAGGTGCGGGCCATCAGGTTTGAGTGAAATACGAGACAGTGGAGAAAAAATATTATCCGGAGAGATCTCATAAAAGATCCCACTCTTATTTTAACTAAGATAGATAAAACATAAAAGGACACACTTATACACACACATATACATATATATATGGGTACTTACACACACACACACACACACACACACACACACACACACACACACACACACATATATATATATATATATATATATATATATATATATATATATATATATATATATATATATATATATGTGTAAACATTTATTTATTTATTTATCTATTTACTTATAACTAATTTTCCCTTTTTAATTGCCCAATAGACTACTCATTTATCCGTAAAAAGATTCTACGCATAC